TCTTCATATACGCCAAATTATGCTCTATTACTTCGAGAAATGTTGGAAGACGGCACACTATAACGTGATCTCAACGAACTTCTCGGCGATGGAACAGTCAGCCAAAGCCGAACAAGGAATGGTATCTGCTTCTGCAGTCGCCCTATACTCCAACAGATACTCCTATGGATTATCACGTCTATCGCCCTTTGGAGAATCGGTTAACGAAACAACTTTCGTCGAAGCAGTGGCTTGATGGCCAACGTCAAAGCGTGAGCGCCTCCAAGAATCGAAACCTCTTCGCCTGTGGAATCCGACTGCCTAGCAAATGGGAAGCAGTGCTTGGCGTAGATGGTGGATATGTTTCGGAGTAATTATTTGAACATGTCTTGTTAGATATTGCTATCTTTCCTCGAGTAAAATATGCTGAAAAAATCCGCAATAATTATGCTTCAACCCAATATTAATATGTATGAATCCAATAAGATGAATCCAATAATCCATTAATATGAAGATTATGCTGTGTTGCATCCATTATGAGGTTCTGCCGCATTACCAAACGATAACAAGCTGAAGGTGCTGTACTCAGCTAAACAATCTAAAGGCAGCGATAGCTCGAAAATTCCAAGAACTGGCCTATCGTAAAGGCGTTGTCCTCCAACAGGACAACTCCGAAACACACGTATTTTTGGTCACTCGTCAAAAATCGCTGGAGCTTTGGTGAGATCTCGTGCCACACCCATCATATAGTCCAGACAGCATCCACGGACTACCACTTGTTCAAGTTCCTGCAAAACTCTTTGAATGAAAAATCGTTCAATCCGTTGGACTGCAAGAGAGGATTTTCGACTGAGTCCAAAACCTTCTAGGAAAGGAGATAACGAAATTTACAGGAAGATGGCAAACCATTGCTGGACAGAATGGAAAATATATTGTTTGGTGAACAGCTTTGTTTCTATAGAAATTTTCCCTCAAAGATGACTCGAATCTTTCCCGACAACCCAATACTTGTACTTCAGACGACTATGATGGGTCGAAATGGTCTATCACAGCTTCGACTAATGAGCAGAACCGGTATTGAAAAGTACAGACGATCCAACATCCGCTCACGTAGAACTTTTCACTAATGCATTCATCACCTTTTGAAATGAAAGTCAACCCACCAACCATCTGAGGTCTGAATTCAAACGAGACAACACCATAAAAGGTAGCGCTCTACCTCATAGCAAAGTGCGTAAACCCTGATCCACATTTAGCACTTACGGTCAGTTGAAGTCCAAAAGAGATGTCTTCCGCCCTCTGATAACCAGCTACCATTGTGTTTCCTTTCATCGCTCAAATCAATAGATCAAAGAGTTTGTATACATCTAATTATCACACTTAACATTCAAGGAACATTTATCACGATCTGTCTTTCAAAACTAGCGATTCAGAGATTTAGTAGCTAATGTCACACGTTTCTTCCTAATAAATTTATGTGACACATCAATAAAATGGTCTGTGCTAGATCAAACAAACATATCTGAAAACTCAGAAAATCGAACCTCGGGTCACAATCTTTTCCTCATTTAGATTAATAACCATGAAATTCAAAAAGTGATCCAACTAAGGGATAGCTCTCCCTAACTTCTGGGAAGCGATCACTAATATAAGCGACCCGTTCATCTCGATATCTCTAAGAATTACATGAAAAACGCATCGAAAACAAATGAAAATAGAAGTTAATTAATTGCCAACATGCATAGCGACTCAAAGAAATGGAAGTAATTGGAAGTATATTTCTATCGTTCCATCCAGTTTAGAACTAAAACAACTCTCACATATTAAAATTAGCTTCAGCGAGTTATTTTCTTGAGTTTGGACATAATTTTCTTCAGGAACCCCTTATGCGGAGTTTCTTCTTCATAAGCCTCAAAGGGAACAATTCCTTTGCTGAAGTTTTCTAATGACGGTTTCGATTCATCGCAGAGTTTACATTCTTCTCCATTTCGTTTGCGCGTCAGCACCGGTGTGCCTAACATGACACTCGTTGAACAGCCCTGAAACCTCTCACTTTAACAAAGCGGAACTAAAACTCCAAATCAAAACGATTACAAGAATAGAAGAAATCTACCTTAGGAGTACTGCACGTTTCATTGGGAGGTGACGGTGTCTGAAATAATCAAATATCGAAAGGATTCTTTTTGGAAAAAAGAGCAAGGACTTCAAAAACCAATTCAATTATGGCTGATAATCTCAGTGCACGAGACTAGAGCTAGGCCCCTTCATAACACCTACATTTACGCATCTAGAATCTGAACGGAGTATGAGATCCCATGGACATCGAAGTACCACGCGGCTCTGGATAGCGGCTCTAGATAGCAAATGGTCGCGCGGGTCTCCACTAACTTTAAAGATATATTGCGCACAAACAAAGCCACAGAACTCTTTGGCTAATAACTTCTGTTAAAAAGAAACCTTGCTGAAATCAACGCAACTACCTTTCTCGGCTCACAGTCTATTATAATTACGTCATCATCATCATTCGCCATTTCTGGAGGTGGTGGAGGAGGTTCCAGGATAATCACTTCACCATCTTCCAACTGATCTGCGAACGAGAACATGAAATTTTGAATCAATCCTGAATCAACGCAGGAAAAACAAATGAGAGCACAAAAGCAAATCGTTCGCTTGCGACATTTGCCAAATTTTAGCCACTGGCAACCTAATTCGCAGGAGGCTGCGAGGCTACATAAAGCTGTCGGTCAGAATGGCCAGGAAGGCGAGAATCAGAATATTAAGGCGAAATGAAATCACAAGGGTATTCATCGAAATTTTGAGGTATGTTATCAACCGATAGGAGAATCGTTGATGAAAGACGTAATTACCATCAACTGGCTTCTTGGGCAGCTTGGCTTCTCTCTCGCGCTGTCTCCGCCGTTCCTCTAGTTTTCTCTCGTGCATTTTGTTCAACGTCTCCTGGTGAAAGGCCACGAACTCATGAAAAGGTGGAACACGAAAGTTCTCGTACTGCAAAATTATGCTTTGGAAATAAGATTAAAATTTCTATGGGTTTGGAAACCGAAATATATTTCTTATAAAGAGGTACTAACATCTCGAAGATCGCGATAGTACTGATTGAATCCACAATAGTAAATCATTCTGTCGGCATTTATTATTGGCGGGGGTGAATCTGGTCGATCAGACCTCTCTTCTTTGCATGTTTTCTCATCCACCATATGGAACTTTAACACTTCATTCGAGTCATCGCGATCAATTGCCCTAAAAAGGCCTAATTAAATACCGTGAACGAGGCATCTTCGAGATTGGGATCTAAGAGGAAATGTCCAAATTTGATAGTTGCTCACACTTCAAACAGCCATATTAAAGCTACGCTAATGAATGTGCTATCGTTAAGCACAGCATTCCAGTAGCACCTCATAACTCGAACAACTTCAGCACAAGTAAAATCAGTTTTTCTATTATTCCTCATAAATCGAGAAACTTTATTTGCAAAACGGCTGTTGTTTACTGTCAAAGGAGCCATGGCGTCTGCCACATGTAGTTGAGTGTGGGAAGAAAGAAAGTGACCCAAAACCACCTTCATCTAACACGTAGTACAGATGATGCACTATTACAAGGGTTCCTCAAACTGCCAGTGTCTCTAGAATTGCAGACTGCCTTCTTTGCTACAGGAGCGCATTGCCCACTGCTGTAGCAAAGAAGGCCGTCTGCAATTCTAGAAACATTGACAACGATCGTGAATGTTGCGGCCGTTATGAATATAGTTAATTAGTTCGAAATATACGTTTCGGATACACCTAAGGAGAGACCGCCAAATCGCAAAAAGGTGTTTACTAACAGGCGCAAATTAAGCATTTGAAACTAATGCTTCCGATAAAGTTTAGTGGCTCAAAAATAACCATCTTCTTCTCTCCTATTGGGACAAACCGTGCATATACGTAAGCAAATACGGGATTCATTATATTTCATGGATAAAATAGATCTAGTGCTTCACCAGAAGTGCGTTATGTTGGCTTCCATCATAATAGGTGTCCGCCTTCCTCATCGTTATAAATTAATATAGGGAAAGTCCCAACTAAACGGCACAAACAATTTCGCAGCTTTTTGAGCTCTTTTGAAGTGTATATTCGATTCCACTATTGAACATAGAATCGTCTTACAAAAAGGAGACACATTCTTAAAAGGGAGTTCAGCGCAACACTACCGAAAAACTCTTATTTCACTAAGTTCAAAGGAACTAGAACTGTGCCTGTAACCTTCGAGTTGACCACTACGAAGCACATGTTTTTCGCAGGTGCGTGAGGAACCTTAGCTAACCAGAAAGATTTCATTCGCCTCCACTCGACCACCGCCCCAACCTCCATAGTTTTTTAGCGATTGTTTCTCTATGCATTTTATTAGATCATGTTCCTTCTATTGCTTGCTTTCCTTACCTAATTTTTCCATAAATAAATGAGTAAACGTGAACCCAGCCCCGCGAGGATAATATAACTTCCTTAGTGGAACGATTGAGATTTAAAAATTAAGAAAAAATTTTAAACGAAATCAGCGAAAAATCATTGGAAGCGCTGATTTCCTCATGTTTCTCACATAAAGAACAAGAAAAACAAGGAAGAAAAAGGAAACGCAACTTTATGGCGTTTGTAGACCTTCCTTAAATAACTGAGTTATTATTTTTCCAATGCCAATTCTTTTCGCTTCGCCGAAAACGGCTGGATTAAGACTTAAGTCGCATGAAAAACTTATCAAACTAGCATCATTTGCATGGTAGCGGGTAAAAAGACAAGAAAAGTCTATATTAAACCATGAAGCTCTGAAGCGGTAAGGATCTGTAAGAATCGACGACTTACTTTTTCAGGTATCCAGGTGGGTATCCCCTGATGAAACCCATCTTTCGCATGCGATAAATATATTCAGGGATGTCATGTTTGCCTATACCTAGTGCATTTCGGAGTTCGTCGCTTATTCGGCCAGCCCGAAATTTCTTCTCAGAAGATGTTCCGTCATGATAACGTGTCCTAAAGGAATGTATTTTCTGATGATATTCATAATAGAAGATCATTCGACGCAATTCTCAACTGCCTCATAAACACTTTTAGACGTACGTGCTATTTCTACTCCGCATTTCAGTCTGTCGCTGCCGAATCTTTCTCATATCTTTTGGTTCGGGACATTCATTCAAATGGTGGTCGCCATCACAGTTGAAACATCCATTATTCTTGAAAGTCAGCGTTACCGTACTCAATCACTAAGTCTGACATACCAAAACGAGAGCAAGCAACACTCAAAAGCGAGTGAAGCTCTGCTCTCGGATAATCTCGTATGAAACAACAACAAGTGAATTTGATAAAACGATGACACAGTACCTTCTTTGGAGGGTTTTTCTTTGCAGATCGATTACCATTCTCGTCTTCTTGACCTGTCAATAAGCTAGAGAGAACCTTCTCCTTCCAGGTTGAGCTAAATTTGGAATATCACCTACACTTTCCTATGGATAGAAAACAGGAGTTACAAAAAGGGTGTAAAATTATGTCGCCCGATGAATTTCTTATTACAATGAAGTAGAGTTAACCGCCAAAACCATACCTGTCTTCCTTGCCAGAAGTGCTGTCCAAAATAGCTAAATCATCGGCGTCTATGCTCATTGATTCTGTTCGGTCAAGTACAAAGTCTCCATAATCTGCTTCATTACCTTTCATAACATCGGCCGGTAAAAGTTTGTCAGACAGTCTCCTAAAATGGTTAGATGGAAATCAGATGGAAGTTAAAGCATTTTACCTACTATCAAAGTTCAGGAACGGGAGTAGGTTTACTACAGCTACTGGATGATACGCCACATAACAGACCTCTTTTTTGTCTCGGGTTCTGGTGATGGTGTACATCGTCCCTCCTCATCGTCAGAATCGAACCGTGTGCTTTGCGCTTCCTCAGTCATTACTAATGAGCACTTAAAAACCTGTAAAAATTCCCTTCGCAACCGAATTTAATCACAAAACACCACTGCGGACTGAACTTGAAATTTTGATGACATTTTCTGTGGAAAAGTGATGAATTCAATTTTAACGTGATGATGTCCGTATATGTTATCTTAAGATGTGGTTATTAACGCTACTAATGTCTCACGTAAATGATGGATTTTAAGTTCCATAAAAATTCAAAGTTTAAGAATAAACGCGTGAATTTGGTTCCTGAAATCACATGCAAGAAATTACCAAACATCTGAATGGGAATTGCTCACAAAACATGTGGTTGATAACTGTTAGTTGTAAAATGTGACCAACTCTTAAGGAACTAGACGAATCAACGAGAAAAAAAAACCGACAGTGAAGAAAAAAACAAAAAACAACAAGCAATGTCGCAGTAAACTTTTCTCTAGACATGACGTCCATTAGGAAGCGTTCGCTATGTCGACTGCGGACAAAGTCATCTGTCCCTCCGCAAGGTACGCCATTATTGCTGGCTTTTTGAAATAACATAGGTGGGTAAAGCGTTGTGAGTGAAGGCTTTGGCATAAAGTGACATCTTATTTGCAGCATATGTTCTGCTTATCCACTAATTATTAAAGTGGCTATAGGAGTGAATATAGCCTCAAAAAATTGGAATAGAATTCCGGCTGGCAATCTGAGAATAGGTGTGAAGTCGGCTAAAACAAAACGATTTTAAGCAATTTATTCAGGAACGAGTCAAATTGTTCCCTTTAGTGATGAATGGGAACTGCCTCAATTTTGCCGTCCTCTGAAATCCACAGGTTCGTCCATCTTCACTTCGTGTCCTGGCTGGTGCCTGATCTCCTAGACGAACATCTCCATTATTGTCTCCATCCTGTTGAAGCAGTATGTAATGAGACTCTGTCTCTTACTCAGCTGATGGATCATTCAGAAATAGGAAGATGTGCGGTAAAACATTCATCGGACTGATTCACATTGGAGTGTTTTCCAATGGTGTTTATCAGACGGAAAGTAGACGGAGTAAAGAGAAAATGTACAGTCCCTCCAACCTGGAACTTGTTTTTCTATTTTTCTTGGGAGCGACTGTCTTCTACAGAGCTCTCGGTAACCAACTGATAGAGTAGGTTCATTGGTCTCGGAGTCGGGCTTGTTTGGCTACTTCAGAGAGCCTTCAAAGGCTTCTTCCACCTGTCTCTGCAGTCTTCAGGATTTTCGCTGTTCGTTCAATTCAATGTTGTTATTGAGTGAAAACTGGTAATCTAAATGTAAATCGATCGATACATAAGTTGACGCTCAAAATTTTAAGTTGTCTACTGAAAGCTACGTATTCTTCTCGGTACTTCCAACATTTATATTAAAGAGTAACTACCTGTTTTTCGAATTCATTAATATTTATAGACCACATTCTGACTATTCTATGTTTAATATATAACTGAACCAATTTCTATTATTTGTGGCAAAAAATGTAAAAATATTTTCCTAAAATATACGCAATTACTCAAGGCCAACCTGAAAATTCAATGAAAATTCTCGTGTTGTTTTTTTTTTTTTTACTTTTTATTCCACTGCAGACCCGATGCGAAACCTAGTGTTTCTTGAGCCCTGAGCATCACGTGCCCTTGATATTTTTCTCGACTAAATTCGAAGAGCGGGACGCGAAAAAATTAATTAGAAATGCTACTCATTGGTAAAGGACTGTCGCCAGCACTACTTGCCACCGACATGTGGTGCAGTGGCAGTGGGCGCCGTCACTGCGTCTATCGCCACTCGCACAAGGCGATCTGTGATGACACATGTATTATCCGAATATAATGAAGTAAACTTTGCTCCAGAATTACACAGAGATCCCCTTTTACATCCTTTTAGGACCCTACATAGCCATACCTTCACAATCCTCAAGACCGATCAAATGTCGAATATGAATTTTTTTCTTCTCACCGGGTGATTTTATTGATAAAATTCTCAATATAGAGCAAATATGATAATACAGATAATAAGATCGTCTCGGAATTTTCATCCACAACATCCTTGCACCTTTGGACTCAACCCTGATCGCTTTGTTATTTGTAATTTGATGAATTCTTCAGAAGAGCATGGATGGATTGCGATTGTATCTGAAATTTCCGTATTTTCGATAGAAAAAAGAGGATTAAAGAGAAAAGATCAATGTAAGAAAGTATATAAACGAAAGAAAAAGTTGAGTGAGAGTTTGAAAACTCTTCAAAACTCTTCTCCTACCAGTTAATTGCTCGAAAGTGATGCCTGCGTTGAATGCTACAGCATAACCTTGGATGATCTCGGCTGCATTTGGACTTACAATATGCATGCCGAGGATTTTGCGTGGTGGATTGCGAAGGCAAATAACCTGGAAATTATTAGGAAAAGTCGAATTCTTGGCTTATGTTCAGTAGGAGAGTCAGAAGTGGGTTACCTTAGCATAGCAATGGGCAGAACTGGGATCTTGTGGGATAACATATTCAAAAGGTGTGAAATGCGAATGGAAAACCTAAAAATAAGTATTGTATACAAATAGAAAACGGCAATGACACAAGACAGGGCCAAATTCGGACTAAAAAAGCGTTTATTTAGAAAAATCCTAGCTCCTTTATTGAAGCTTCACTTTTACTTGGACCGACAGCGGCCAAGTTACTCAAAGTATTCAATCCAGTTTTTCAGGGTAATAAAAAAAGTCGCACGGTCAACTGAGAGTGGGAAAAAATCAAGTTCCTGTATAGAGTGATGTATAGAGGCAGGGCGCACACACGCTATCCCGGGTCCAAGGATCAAATTCCTAATCGGCACCTGCCAGGCTCAACCAGTTTTCTACCTTCCGGTCAGTTAATTCGTATCAGGCCCGTTTAAGAGAATGAAAGCACTGACTTCTACATGAGCTGGGTATCGGAAGTCATTATATAAGCCACATCAACGTTCAAAAACGGCACTTCGATTCTGGATGGAAGACAAATGCGGGGCACATACTTTAGACGAGACAGATTCCGAAGGCCTTGTCCTCCACCGTTATATTACATGGAGATCTGTTGATCGGTGCATTTAGAAAAAAGGAAGAAGATAGCAAAGACACCTTCGTTCTTAAATTCGCAGTCTCCTGCCTCCCAATCCGGAAAGCAGAGATGACACAGTAAGCAACAAGCCTTCATAAACTGAAAGCCGATCGAGGTTCATTCTTCAACCTATGGCACCCCTTGCCACGCTTTTCCTTGAGGTCTTTTTCTCAGCTTTTGAGGTCCTGCAGGAGCATTTTGGAGCAGAAAGGGAATACAATAGAGGGGCCTAGGAATGTGCGCTGTCAACAGAACAATTGCTTCAGGTCTTGGAACATCTTGAAGCCATTTGGCGTTAGTCACTCTGGTGAATTTAATTCCATCCGGAACAGAATGCCAATGTGGCCTCCACAATGTCTTACTTTCGTTTATTCAATCGAGCCCTTCCTCTTCCTCAAATCGTATTGGTAAAAAGGCTTGTTGCTGAATTCACCAATCTATTGCAATTTGGCTAATCAAAAAAAGTCGAAAATGCTGAGAGATACCCGACAAAAGGGTTTCTGAAAGCATCAAAAAACAATACAAAGAATGTACTAAAATTATATCAAATTGAATTCCATAATAGAACACCTCGATATTTTCGGAGCCAAATTTCCGAATAGCTTCTTCTTCCGTCAGTCCCACTGTGCCTAATTCCAGGGGTGTGAATACGGTAGTTGGCACATTATCGTAATTCATGGTTTGGTTGGCACCAGCGAAGATACGTCGCGCTAACAATTGACCAGCACGAATAGCAGTTGGAGTTAGTTCGGGACGGCCCTGTAATGGGAGATCTTCGTGTTCTCACTAGTCAGGGTATAAAACGCAGAGACCAGATAATTAGAAGGTACTATGACTTAGTAAATAAGGCTCACTGCTCACCTGAACTACGTCTCCGATTGCGTAGACGTCCTCTGCAGACGTTTGATCATCTTTACCCACAATAATTTTTCCCGAAGAATTGTCGACTTTCACCTCAGCTCCGGCCAAATTTAGGTCGCCATGTTGTGGATCCCGACCTGAAAACGAAGAAGAAGGGCCTTGTGGCAATTTTTTACTTGGGGAATTAGAAGATCAAATGATGCAAGCAATTGTAAGGGATTTCTTCACCTATAGCCCAAACGATTGTGTCGTATGTCTCGTCGACTGAGCTTTGCGTGGCTGCAGAGTCTTTGAACGAGACCTGAAAAACAAAATCTTGATGCAACCTCAAACAAGAATGATCCTTACTATATATAAAGCGCTCGAGTCTGTCTGTCCGTCTGTCTGTTTGTACGGAAATTCGATATCATCCTAATAAAGTACCTGCAGAAGTTTTAAGCCTATGGGCGGTCGTGGACATAGAATGCATGCATAAATATGCATAGCCCAACTGGTAAGGTTATAAAAATGATCGGGTCGTTATCAAAGAGTTAACCTAGGCCTTTATGTGCGTACGGATCGAGACTTTTGGCACAGTGGGTGACTGGGACCCCAATTTTAGCGAAAAGCATACCCGTCGACAGTTTCTGAAATATGTAATGACAGGAGGAGCCAAACAAGGAAAAAGCCCTAGACCTAATGACTGCGAGCCGGCATCATTACCATCAGACTCTCCATTGAACAGATTGAATGAGCGAAGCGTTGAAAGAACATGGTAAAGCTGTACGAAGATGTCATAACAAACACGGTAGCAAACATTTCAATCCGGAGGACTCCAACGGTCTGTTATCTTCCCTATCGAGATACGTCGATTCAACATAACGGATCTTTACGAAAGAAATAAAGAGTAACATTAGCTTTCTCTGCAAAGGCACCAGAATTCACCTTCTTCTTATCCCCGTCCAACCGTACACGTGCAACTTCTTTAGCGTAGATGACGTTGACACCCTGCTCTTGTAAATTCGCCATTACCAATTTCACGCAATCCTGCAACAGAATGTACTTATCCCAACTACTTGGGAAACTATGCATGATTTGGCGACAAGCATTTCCCAGAGCGAGAAAGAGTAAAGAGAGACTGAAGGTGCATATGACGGACTTCAACATCAACAATACCATCAATACCTTTGTTCATGCTCTGAATTCTCATCCAAATTCATAGTCAAACTCACGATGCCCTATGATGTGTAATAATACTCCACAACGAAAACTTCCCCTGTTTTTCTGAACTTCTCTGGCATCTACAGAACGGAAGTTGTGTGGTGGCAGATGGAGCCGGACCACACGCGCATGGTCCAGGGATTGAAACCAAGATCGACACCCGCCTGGGGCAACCAAGTGTTCCATCCCTCAGGTCAGATGGATTGGTACGAGATTCGTCATGGAGTATAAAAACACCTCATTGAACATAGGCTGGCCACCGCAACGCATTGTAAAGGCCATTTCGAGGGGGGGGGGGGGGGGGGGGGGNGGGGGGGGGGGGGGGGTAGGCGTCCATCACATGTAGAGCCTTAGGGATCAAGTTTTTATGGATCATGCCGAAACCTTAAGGGCACAATTCACGATAATTCAATGGGCGGGACGTCAATGGTCTTCCCGCCTCTCCATCGACGTCACGTCAGACGTCAGAGACGAGTGTCGAGACAATGCAGATTGCAAATTTTCGTTCTAGGACCCACACACAATCAGCTGTCGCCGAGTGATGAGGCGATGTTTTTCTCCCATTCTTTTTTCCTCTGCTATTCCTCTTGCTGCTGCGATCCCTTATTTAATTTCCTGCTCTTAGAGGCTGAAAAAAGTGACTACTTTTGTTGTTACTAGGGGTTTTTTGTTTACTTATGCTTATAAGTGAAAGAATTTTTGCTTACCATTGTCTGTTATTCGCACCAGGACCCACACGCGCGCATTGAAACACACCGTTTGGCTTGTCCGGCCGCCCCGCTCTTCTTCATTTTTTTGAACTCATTCTCGTCCAGCCCCTGTTTAACGGTTTTTCGAAGCCTTTTTAAATTTGGAAACACCTATTCACGGAGTTTCTCCACCTTCATCGCACTATTTTCGGTCTTGTCGTCCATTTATCGTCATAATCTGGATTAACCAAAATTATCGTAAACTGTGCCTTTACGTGCCTTTAACTTACAACGGTATGCTTTAATCGAATGGAATTGGAGCCGAACTTCTAACCGAAGTTCCTAGTGATGGGGTCAGGCTTAGCGAGGATAAGCAAGTTTTGATGAGCAACTGGTTCGAAATCAAAGAACGAATATTTTAAATCAAATAATAGCAATACTTAGCAGAAGGGAATAAAGTGATATGACAGAAGTAACCGAGAAAGCGCCCTTTCTCTTTGTTTGGAAGGTTTGGTAAGGGTGTCCTCTGATGAACCTTACAAGGATGGATTTCTTTCTATTGAAAGCAGAAGATGCCTTCTGTGCAGTGTGTTGCTCTCGATCTTGTTTGCTGAGAACCTTTCAATAAACCACCTACCTGATCGAATGATTTCAATGGCTTTGACCGAATGAGTAGATCTACTGGGAAACCAACTCCAGCGAGTAAGCCTGCACATTCTAGAGCAACGTAGCTGGCACCGACAACTAATGTCTTGCCTGGAGATTTGGGCAATGAGAACAGATCATCGGAAGTGATTCCTGCAATGCAGAACGCCATGAGAACAGTTTATTTTATCAATAGAAAGGACAGGAATTCTGGAACGTTACGAGCACCGAATGAACCACAAGACATACCGTACTCGGAGCCAGGGACATCTGGATACCGCGGACGAAGACCTGTTGCGATGACGACCTTTTTTGCATGCAAAATACGCTAAAATAATAAATGTATGCTTTAAAAAAACCTCCGCTTACTAACACTTGGGCCATACCTCAGCTGAATTTTTGAATTTCTTTACTACTGCTGGCCATAAGATAGCCAAACTCAGGCGAACACGAGCAGCCCCAAAACAGGGATGAGGGGCGTGATTGAGAAAGAACTCGCCGGAGCTTAGGTAGCGGCACAAGATGCCGTACATAGAAGAAGTGGAAACAACTCATGGGGAAACAGTGAACCCAGTGACGGTGGCGGATAAACGCTAGGAAGAAGAAAAAAAAAGATGGAGAATGATCAAGCTATTCAGATTCCTCGATTTTCAGTATTTATTTGAAAAGTTGACAGGTGATCCGCAATTTTTAAGCTACTGATACATACTACTTATTGGTGGTAGACGATTTTGGCAATATTTTTAGGCAGTAAACCGAACAATACGACATTCATTATCATGAGCTCTGCAGCTTCAGAACAGTTACTGTAAAGCGATCTGTACACGTTTCAAACAAAGCAATGAGGGAGANNNNTGAGCCCTTGAAACGTTTACTGGTATTACGGTAGCCCTCTACAGACCTTGCGCGGAAGGCTACCGTGGCCCTACTGAACCTCTCAAAGGCTCATTGGATGGAGTGATAGGGCTGATTGCAGGTTGTGTCTGGGACGACGCTGTATTGTATGAAATAAAAACCCGATCACCTCCGTTTTCTTCTTGTCAGCTGATACTGTTTTGATAGTGTGGTTGTCGATAAAGGATGCAAAAGCTGTGTAAAGCTTTATGCCCCTAAAGTTGGATTATAAGAAACATCAAAAGGAGAAACATCAGAAGGAAGAAAGTTCCAGAAAGTTGAGCTCTATACACTTTTCATTTAGCTGCACGCGGTATATCCAGTTGTTAGCCTTAATCCGATCATTGACCACTTTTACCAACGTCTGCCTGGAACAACATTTGTGAGACTCAACAAGCACCCAAGTACTTACTGGTAAACTAACCAGGAATGTTGGCCTTTTACAACATTCTGCCATCCGTACATGGTAGCGTGCTGCACCTTGAATAATTACTATGAGACATGAATGAGCCTTATTCCAATGCCTTGATACGCTCTTGCAATGAATTTCCCAGCAAGATTGTAAATTTAGCTTTATGAGTAATTGACGTATACAGACAGAGTCGAGCATTTACTGTTTCTCGAGTAACTGGTTTCACTCTCCTGAAATAGGCGAATGCGGAGGACTTAGCTATCTTCCAGTAGCTTATTAGTAGGAAGGAGCGTTTATTTCTGCTCTATGGGAGGCCAGCTGAATTTCAAAGTACCGCCTCTGCTCTATTTCCGTTATCTCTTTGAATGGCTACATTCAGCCAAGCCCGATGCTGTAGTTTCGGTTATCGGTTTAAATGGGACCAAATGAAATGGATGACTGAGCGTTGTTGTCTATACAGAGGAGGGGTCGAACCTTAACTTCGAAAAGAAAAGGGAAGGGAAATTTTGGGAGACGACGGAACTCCTACCCGAAATACCACGGCTAGCGGCAGTGGTTCCGCGGCAGGTGCCGTATCCTTCCCCTGGGAATTCGTCTTTCCCTTCATAGTGCGCGATCGATTGCGGCGAACGCGACACGCCGTTCGGGAAGAAGATACCACACCCCAAGATTTTTACTTCTTTCTGAGTTATGTAACTCACAACCCCAGTAATGGGCGCAACTATCTCAGTGATCCCATTTATGTTTCATACCATAAAAGTAATCGACACGGAATTGGTTGTTTGCCAATCCCGCCATGGGATACGCCCCGTATTCAGCTTTCATTTAGAATCGCAGTGGCGTTACGAATGCGTATGTGGCTCCTACAATAGCCCGAGGTGATCAGCTGATCTACAAGTCAGTGCTTTCACGCTCCTAGACGAATCTGTTATTAATTGCTCGACTTTGAAGGGATGCGATGTTTGTTTGGTCGTTTTTGGAGAGGATCAATTTTCAATTCTAAAAAAAAAAATTTGGTCGATTTAGGTGAGTACCAATTCTGGATTGGATCCCCGAACCTGTGTGTTTGATGATGCGCTACTTGCCATTCTGCCATCCTGATTTTTTTGGATGCCTTACTGTAAATATTTGACAACGGGAAGCTCAAGACTACATTTTCTCACACAGATATAGCCTTACTCGTGGTTCTCCTTCGAGAAGGCAATTCCACTCTATAGGTAACACTATTTCGCCAGCTATATCCGAACAGCTCACCTCTTTACCCACAATTCCAGCATGGTGCATAAGTTTTTTCGGGATACATCCTACATTAGCACATGTTCCTCCAATACCCCATGTGGTTCCATGCGGACTTGGTACTACTCCATCAACCAAAGCCACACGTGCACCGTATTCTCGTCTGAAAATGTTTTATGCCCTGAATTCATGCTCAACACTGTCTTCTCGATGGGACTCACGCCGCTTTCGAGCAGGACAAGCCACCGGAACCACCACCGATCACGACGAGGTCATAGTCTAGTGCAGAGGAGACTGAAAATGCTCGTTGTAAATGAGAATGGACAGCTATATCCAAGAACATTCAGTATACACCTGTACGCCTTCCTATTAAAAAAGTTTGCCTCGGCCATAGCCACCACCGCATGGGCGCAGGACGATTCAGGCCTGAATTCTGGAACTCTACTGCTATATACTCAACAATATACAAAAACAGCAATTCGACTTCCGTATTGTAACCCCAGTTTGTCCTGTTCACCTCTTCAATTATAGTAAACATGTTATACGATATAACATTTTAAACTGTGTGGTTTATGTTTCTGATGTTTAGGATCAAAAGTCTAACTTTCAAAGATATCTTCAGAGTAGAGCGCTGAGGGTGCGTTCCGCTTAAAGGCAGGTTCACGATGAAAATGGTTGCTGAGTTCTTACCCTAGGATTACTCAGTGGCCCCAAGGGTAATAGAAAGGATTTTCTCGAGCCCAAAAAATCGACGGTTAGGGCCTGGTGGAAGGCTCGCGCTGTTTTCCCGCCCCTCGACCGATGTCACGTCAGACGAGTGTCGAGGCGATACAAATTGCAAACTTTCGCTCTAGGACCCACACAGATTCAGCTGATCGCCGAGTAGTGAGGCGATGTTTTCCTCCTATTCTTTTGTTCTCTGTCATTCTTTTTGCTGTTGCGATCCCTTATTTAATTTTCTACACCAAGAGGCTGAGAAAGGCGGACTTCTTTGCTGTTACTAGGGTTTTTTGTCAACATGCTTATGAGTGAATGAATTTTTGCTTCTTGTAGTCAGCGATTCGCACCTGGACCCCTACGTACGCACAGACACACATGGTATAGCTCCATACGTCCCATTCTTTTTCATTTTTCTGGTCTCACTCTCGTCCAGCCCCTTTTTAATGAGTTTTCGAAGCCTTTTTCACTTTGAAAACACCGACTCACGCAGTTTCTTCGCCTTCATCGCACTAATTTCCACCTTATCTTCCATTTTTCGTCATAATCTTGATATCACAAAACAGTCGTGAACTGTGTCTTTAACGCTCAACGTTTTGTTGGCGTCGATCGATATTACACGAGTAGACGGTGAATGATTCTTTGATCGGGTTTTATTTGTTATGTCTCACCTTTCTTTTCAACTTTTTTGTTACAGATCTGCTGTTTTTCTTCCTTCACCACTTCATAACGAAATACTTTCGTTACATGACACTTATTGTGGTGTAGCGTGACGAACGTATACCATCATGAAAGGGCTGAATGCAGCTCTGCTTGGAAAACATGCTCCAAAGCAAACACTGTCAGCAAAGGGGAGGCCGTCCTTTGGCGCGATTCCTCTCTGGCGCGATTCTTCGCGCCGCCCATTCGTCGCGGTTTGTGAGCTGGACAACCGTAGGTGATTCAACTTCCCGACCATGCTAATAGACAGGATACCAGTAACCGCAATTCGGCGTTCCATAGTAGTGGGTTCATCGATCGGGTGTATATCAGCTGGAGGGGCAGTGGGTTGGCCGGTCAGCATCGTCAGTAGAATGATTCGCCTGGACGAGTTGTCCATCTCAGCAACCACTTCGTACGATACGGTTACGTGTCTACTTCAACTTTCTCTGCGTCCCTGACGGCAAGAGGCTAGAGCGCAGAGAAATACACCACGGGTGAAGCCTACGGCGGTGGTGGTGGGGGTTCCATTGGGCAGGCGAGCACAACACTCAAAGACTACATCAAACGGGAGTGCGCCAGACGAGGGCAGAAAAATGAAGCATCTGGCAAATTTGAAGGAACCAAGTTCAAGTAGTCCGTAGGCCCGAACGGTACGATAGGCGGCGCCAAACGACCACCTCCCGTGCTGTACACTCGAAGATGGCCTACGAGCGCAGACGCGCTCAGCGCTCTACTCTGAAAGCGCCCAAAGAAATGATGTGTGCAATATAATTTTACATGTAGCTTTTGAAAGTGGCATTCTGTGAGCACGTGCAAATCAAAACACTTTCAATCCGATTCTTGAATATTTATTAACATAGAAGTTAGTAAACAAATAAGTGAGAGAGCTTCCAAAGGCACAATTGCTGGCACATTACTGTCATTTCGTAACATTAAATATTGTTTTTTTTTTCAAGAAGTAATTTTTTAAAAACGCACAAGTAAGTAGTCTGTTCCATAATAAGTTTTGAGCTAGACTGTAGTAAGTAAACAACCAAAAAATAGGAAAAAACAATGACGCGATGCAACAACAATTACTACAGAAATAGTGAAATGTTACTTTTAGAAGAACTGACAAAATGATTAAGTCCTTACATAGTCTTAGCAACATATTGTGGCCTAGAAATCCGAACAATATTTTCCTATGAATCGTCGATCAAACTACTAAACAAGTGCCAGTGGTTGTAGTTCAATGGTGAAAATCAAAGGAGCTGATGTCCGAACATACAAAACGTCCTTTTCCATGTAATTCGACGTGCTGATCACACCTCCGAAAGCCACTGTAGCATTTTCTGAAACACTATGTTCTTGATTAAATCTGAACTTCATCATAGACCAAAAGTATTGAAAGCCAGCAATTGACATGACTCAGATCAAACAGCCCCCTTCCTCTCTAAGGTTGAATGGTTGGCACCAGCCTCTCTTAAGAGAGTGAGAGCACAGGTCTGAACAACGGTTGGTAGCTGCTGGTGAACTTGAAACGTGAGTCTTGCAACACAACTTGTAATAGGCAATAAACTTTGAGATTCTTCGATAGATTTTGCCTAACGGAGAAGAGAAGTCAAAACGGACCCCCATTAAAGCCTTTGATCTTTGGAGATTGTTCACGAGGTTCTGCTCAAGGATTGGAGTGGCCACATTAGAAAAACCAGAAAACTTCAGTATAAAGTTCGTAGGTAACATGTAGGAGTATGTAGATAAGTAAGCAGCGCTCGTTGCGTTAGTCGAATTATTTATTTATTTATTAATTATTTTCACTCAATGTGCACTCAGTAGGAATAAAAACAAGATAACGAACATTGCAGAGCTGTGAAGAAAAAGAGAAAAGTGATCCAGGCAAATTATGCCATCGGAACTATGAAGCTCATTCTAGCATTCGCGCAGATCCCGATCTATTCTAGTCACTTCACAAATAAATCACAAAGATGTCGTTCAAAAGAGGTACAGTGGTACAGTGGTGGAGGGGGGGGGGGGTCAAAATTTGGATTCTGGACTTATCCACCACCACAAAACTTGGAATGGTGGAAAAGTCCTCTTGAACTAATCACTTGGCTGCGCCCTGTCCCAACAACCGATTTCTTGCATATCAAAAAGAGACGGGACCATTAGAGGCGGATTTGATCGGAAATTAGAGCTGGATGAAAAAATAACAAAACCAGTACTCAAAAAATCATAACCAACCGAGATCCCAACGGAATCCTTTCATTGTGACAACCGTCGGTTTTTGGCAGAACGGCACTACACCGCAAGTTCCTGTCACTGATTGACGATCAATCTTGACGGAATGCTCACCCTGGAAGGTTTGGTTGTTTCAAGAATTGTCGAAGTAAGAAAAAACACAGTAAGCATACCTCATCCAGAACGAACGTGAGATTCTCACCATCAAGACAGTAAACCTCGAGTTTTAATTGGTTTGCTGAGTTATAAAGGGAATTTATGGCAGCTAGGACATGGTCGAAACGACCTGACGTCCCACCAAGGAGAACGATACGCGGAGCCTAAAATGATAACTAAAATATGGAAGAGGGTAAAGTGTAGGTGATGCGCAAAAGTGAAAATCAATAAGCATATAATAGCCTAACTGCATGATTTTTGAAGTCTTCTGCTATAAATTCAAGGCATTTCGTCAGGTCAGTTTTGTCTTGATCTGGGGCATCTACCAATCGTGTAGTCGGTTTCAGTGCTTCGGCTACCTCAGTTAGGATCGAATCCATATCTCCAAGTACGACATCAGGGGATGCCAATTTTGGAATTCTGAAAAAAAATAGTACGTTCACATAGTGCTTTAGAATACAAAAGAGAAGAGCACCACCTCTTCACAACTCTATTGGCGCCACCATCAGTACAGTAACGCTTCTTGGATGAATTCCATAAACGTGTCCAGATTGGTCGCTCGGCATCGGGACTGCCATTTAACCATACGCATACATTATCATCTTTAACATTTCGCTTCATGGTTATGATCATAGTTTTTGTGAAGAGAAGAGGCTAACATTTCAGGAATGTAAAATGAATGACTTTTATTTTATATCGTGAACTCTAAGATCCTAACATCTGCACCTAGCTGCACAAGAACGAATGCATGTAGCAATCGCTTTAGACCCAAGGGTTGGACGTTATTTGAGCTCTGCTATTCGGACAATGCTAAACAAAATATTCATTCCAAAGCGTTCGGCGGAGTAATATCATTTTGCGGACCCGCATTACCACCAAGGCATGCCGTAGCTCCTGCGAGAACGTTTTCGAGACTTGCCCAGTTAATGAGCAAAAGGACAAGTGGGCAGATGATTAAACACTCACGAACATAAAATGGTTGAATCGTTGTCATAGCATGGACTCATCCAAACACCCCCTTAATAAACCAAGGGGAGTTCCCCATCGTCCAGAATCGTTGGCCTTCGCACGAAGCTTTTTGCTCCGTGCAGACAATGCTGTTTTCCTTTTTTTTCTCCGTTACTGCTATGGATGACTACACCATTGTGTCAGCAAGTAATATATCAACACAAGGAGAAAGATACCGTCCACAGGCACCACCATTCTTCGGACATACTTCCGCTCATTAACCCTTTGACGACAATGCCAATTTCGACGTGACGCGTCCATGGGACCACGCCCCTTTCCTTTCGTGCGCGACCGGTGGGTGCCATGGTCCCAGGAGGAACTCCTTTCTCTGGCTCAATAAGTTTAGCAATATTTCGCTTGAAATGGAAGTATCGAGATATTATCTCATCCATTACAATTTAGTGAGGCTTGAAAATGGAGTTGGAAGCAATATGGGACAAATTCTGAAAATAAGGTTTACAGTAGAAATGCGTTTACATTAAAACTCCTTAGTATCAATTTATGCTTTGCTAGAGCGCATGCTAATAAAGTGAAAACACAGTGCAACAGTTGCTACGGCTTTTAGTGTCTGCAATGTATCCAGGATGAGCACAAATCTTGCGGAAGTACCTAGGTTTTTTCTTCAGTGGTACCCCATTGTATATATGTTTGTAATAAANTCAATTTATGCTTTGCTAGAGCGCATGCTAATAAAGTGAAAACACAGTGCAACAGTTGCTACGGCTTTTAGTGTCTGCAATGTATCCAGGATGAGCACAAATCTTGCGGAAGTACCTAGGTTTTTTCTTCAGTGGTACCCCATTGTATATATGTTTGTAATAAATAAGCTTTAATAAAGCAATAATCTGGACCATGTTGAATATAAATACCATGGGGTTTGTTATCAATAATGAAAATATTAAATAAGTTTCAAATGTGCAAATAAAGAAAAAAACATGGTGGCACCCAACATTGGGTGCCATGGTCCCATGCGCCAGTCATAGTGGCACCCGCCGGCGGGTGCCATGGTCGTCAAAGGGTTAAATAAACCCTTTCTATTATATATCCTTCAACTACAGACACTCCCGACACACAACTCGAAGAGTCTTCAAAGTAGCAAACCAGTTCATATCTTAACAACTCATGAATGTCGCTGAATAGAACATACTAAAGGCCAGAATATCTTCTGACATCTTTGGGCATCGTGGACTCAATCCACATAAGAAAAGATTCAGTACTAACCCAACTTCTGTAGGCAGTCGAAAGGAGATAGCTGCCGCATCAGGTATACCTACAAAATGTTAGTGCACGAAACTTAACAGGAATGAAAACGCCCCTCAATATTGCATTTTAGTATGAACTTGTCCCAATCCAAAGCAGAATCACTAAGAAAAGTTTATTCACTCAACACAATCACCAAAAATGCACAATAGTAATAGGAAATAGAAATTGGATCGACTAAAGCTCACATCTGCTTGCGAAATAGCCATTGGGAAATAGCCAATTTGGATTCTATGGAAAGAGGATCACATGAATACTATTCGGATAATATACGACACCGAGACCAGATCTGTGCAACCCACACCTACCCCTACCAACAAGCCTTCGAACACTTCTCACCAATGGAAGGTCAGTATCGTTGCGGTCATGTTCGGCAAAATGCTGACGGCTGTTCGCTTTTGTATAGAAGTGAGTGTTACAGAGAGAGTGAGTTGAGAATAGCAGTTATACCCTAACCCAAGCCCCAGCTATTCGAATGATCTCTTTGTGACAGAATAGATTAAACATTTCCCCAAAGCGGTCAGCCGCAAGCGATTCGCTGGAGTTGACCGCATATTGAAGGGAGAGGAAGCTGTTCTTTTTCGTTTGTCAGCGATTTGTTCTTAGATTGCTAGTTGTTCACTGATAGATAAAGATTAATTAATTAGCCAATAAATAGGTAGCGATTTCCAGCGCTCTAAAAGACTACTTTGAGAAAATTTTGTGAAACATATCTACAGATAATCTTCTATACTCAGCCAAAAAAGATTGTCAGAAAGCACAAACGCAAGAAGGAAAACACGTACACAACACAATGGCAGACGCAAAGAAATATATGGTTTACAAACTGTCTTGGCTCTTCTAATCAATTAAGCGACGTAAGACAAATAACTACAGAGTTTCTTCTGCTTCTCTCTCCTCCTCAAGTATTTTCTCGAAGGAGAATGGAGTGAACGCATGACCCAAGCCTCCATAGAATTTCGACTGGAACTCAACCCTAAAAAGATTACGATTGGGATACAAATTAGCTATAAGTAAATAAATAAATATAAATTGAATATCTATGAATACCACTGCTCCCAATGAAGGATTAAGAAAAAAAAAACGTACCAGTGAAGACGAAGAGCATGCAAGAAAGCCGACAAGCCTTCCATAAGCACTAGAATGAATATCGACAGGGAGCCAAAGATAAAGAAGAGAACGTAGGTGGCCACAGCTCCATAATAGCCATCAAGGCGGAACGAATGGCGAAATACCATAGACCACAAGACTTCCGACAGCTCTTAAAACATGGACAGATTGTCTTCGGTAGGTCTCAATTTTTTTTTTCGGAAAACTGCTTATGCTCGAACAAACTATAGCAAGAATCAAAAACAAGATAAAAGAGTAGATTTCACATTAGAGCACGTCCAAAGAACCAAAACGCTATGGATTATTAGAGGGATATTCACTTACGAGCATGAGCTAGTGAAAGTGCCCAAAGTCGAAGATAGGATGCCGTGTGGGATACACATCCGAGAACGAACTCAATGGTGTGAATCGCCTGATATACCATCACCTCGCCAAATTCAAACTGTAAAGATCACGTTGACATCGATTTAAAAAGCAGCTCCCATTAGTACAACATTAGCTAGGCCAGAAATAGCGAACGAAATAAGGCGATCTTGATGCGCAATCAATTGACGATCTAAGCTATTTTCACTTCTCCTGAACTCACAAAGAGCCCTACACCTTTCTCAGAAGTCAAAAAAAATCAAGGTGAAAGCTCGAAAGTAGATAAAATAATATCAGCCAACAAGCATCAACCTCGGTGCTGATGACACTAATTAGCAAGAATGCCTTTCACACGCATTACATTCAAAACAGGTGCGAGCATGCGCGTGTTTCAAGGAATGTGATATTGCTTGCAAAGTCACTAACAAAACTCTTGTCAAGTCACGATAAGTAGATTCTGGATTTAGATGAGCGGAATTTACAAAAACAAAATAAAACCTATTTAATGATGGTCTCAACAACAAAAATGGTTTCGAGAAATTCGAAGTTTGGTTCTCACACAGCCTATGAACAAGAAAAAACTGATGACACTGAGCAACCAATCTTGGGACCAGACGAAATTGACCAGGGGTAAGAGGAACATCGACGGTTCAAAGGCGCGGAACAGCAGAGGATATAGAAGTTTGTAATCCTTAATATCCCTGAGAAGTGGAATCTATAGGGGCATCTTCAGAGCGACAGACCGCCACACTGGTTCACAGTGATGCATATATGCCATCAAGATACGCAATTAGCTTTGACGTCATCAGAATGTTCTAGCTATAAGCTGGTACTTTTAAAACTTTACAAAGGTGCCTTACCGGTCCAGAACCACCATGCCCATGGTCACCTCCACCACTCCCGACAGTAGAAGTAGTTTTTGGCTCCGCATGAACGACCTCTGCATCGTCTCCATTCATGTCAGCTCGAACACTCTGAATAATCAACAATCAACCATGTTTTAACCATTGAGAACACAGCACCAACACCACCAACATAAGAGGAAGAATTAACATGCAAGCACAACTATATTAATGACAAAAAGCACAAAAAAAGGCAACCCCGAACCACCACAATGGGACAAAATTGTCCGTAATACAATAATAGCTGTAAAATGCAACAAACACAACATTATCTAAACATCTATGACATCACGACGGTGAAATTTACCTTTTCAAAAACGTATCGTCAAGAGGGATAGACTAGTGGAGAAACGGTGGTGTTGGTGAACCTCTATTTGATGTTTTCAAAGTTTGAAAATGAATGATGGAAATAAGCCGCACAAAGGAAAATAATTTCTTAACATGTAACACTGGGAATGCTATGAACACAAATGATAGCTGAACTACGAAAGGAAGCCGGCCAGCTATCAGAACTTAAATGGAGAGAAACTAAAGGGCTAAGGTGTTGCTTCGGTATCACTGAAAATGGAGAGAAACTAAAGGGCTAAGGTATTGCTTCGGTATCACTGATAAAGTAGTGTACTTGATTGTCCCACACCGTGACTCTCATGGAAGTTGTAACTAGGCAGTTAAACATGATGAACAACAAAATGGGAAAGTCAAATGTGTATACAGTTTACAAGAGAAACGCCAATCAGAATAACAAGAACTGTTTCATTAATTTGATAATTCATCATCTTACAGACCTCATCGCGCAGTGTGTAATAGTGAGCGTTGGTCACTCGACTACGATAGCGCAGAATCAAAGGCTTGGCGAAAAGCATCAGAGGCACTTGCACCACCGCTAACACCAGAAGCACCCGCTCGACGATACCCTGAAAAGGTTGGCTGCCCACTCAGAGGATGACACGAAAAAAGTGATTCATAAAACAATTTCTAAGTCAAAAAAAAATCTGAACAGAGCATGAACAAGCGTCTCCGTAACTATGTGGGATTTGAAGATGAAAATTCTGAGTAGGCTGCCATTCGGAAAACTTCACCGAACGCGATGTGCACTATGAATGCACACCAACCAGCTGTCTGTGACCAGACTCGCGACGTTCTTTATCTGCCTTCCATAGCATGTAAGGCTTTGCGAACAGCATGATCGGCACGCAGGCGATCGCCACCAGTACGAATAGTGTTTGGAAAAATCCCTAATAAAATTATGGACGAGTAACAAAATGATGTGAATAACAATGCTATTAGTGAAACATAATGAGTCCGCTAAAAGAAGCTAATAGCACCATATTTAAAATTCCTGAAAAATTTAGCTGAAATATTTGGAGTCACACTTTCCAGAGTGAATCCACACATGACATAGACTAAGAAGCTAACACAATCTTAATGAAAAATGCCCTATTGTATGCGAAAAGACCAATTTGAGTCAACTTATCCGGATCCAATAGAGTTCCTTAGTCAGGCAGAAAAAATGTTACTTGCATAATATCATTCCTAGATTTTATTTCCTGACAACATCTTCAGATACCTACTGAATTACACGAAAAAATGCTTTTGGCAGCAAGCTAGACGTTATCTCGTTCGATGTGCCCACACTGAGGCTTCTGACTGCAAAAATTTTTGTGACGACCCTTAACCCTAACTTGGCCCTGAATTTGTTGCCTCTATAATCGTAAATCTCTCTAAACGGGTGCGCTTCGTTGCGCGCGTCCATCGAAACTAGGTCACGCCGCAGCCGTCGCATGCGGCGGGACGCCCGCGATACTTGACAGACGTCGCAATTGTCAGTGGGGCGGGCATACGATTTGCGCGTGGTCCACGGCAGTCAACCAAAGAGAGGATAACACGGACGATTGCAAATTGTTCGCTCCGTTGACACTTGGTGGTACTGTAATGTCATCGTGAGACATCAGTGGGATGCGCCGCGCGCGAAGTAGGCGGGGTGACCTATTTTCGACGGACGCGCGCAACGGACGTTCTCATCTCTAAACAGATTATACTGGGTGTTCCTGATATAGGCAAACATGAAGTATACCTGTCCGGGGTACCAAAAGTTGAGATGACACTGGAACTTTTGATGTCCGTCTTCTTCCACAAAACCAGAGGGTAATGCTTTGAACATGAACATGTTGATAAGCCCAATCAACAGCGATGGCGCGCAATTCGAACCGGGATATTTGTAACCAAAAATGGAGTCTTGTGGCTGAAAGAGGTAACTTACTAATTCAACTTTCAATACATTTCAGTCCACGATTTATTTCGATCTTTTCTGAGACCAGTTAGGAGAGAAAAATTGCCTGCCTTCACCCAACGAATAACTTACCCCTGCTGTAAAGAAAATCCACTTGACAACGATTTCTAAGCAAAGGTACATAAATATGCTGGCCAAGAATATCATTTGTGGTATGAACATGAACTTAATGTCCAAGTCCGACTTGAAGTATCTAAAATAGTCGAGATCAATCGAAGAAACTAGGAATTTCTGACAGCGTCATGACGTATGTTTCACCACCACACTTACTTGTAGTTTTGGTAACTAAGTAATACACCGAAGGTCATCTGCGCAATACCAACAATGACAGAAATTTTCATTTTCATTGAATTCAAAAAGTTTAGCTTGTTGGACTCCGCTAAATTCCATATGGGATCGACTCCAATAGGATATGGTCCACCGGCGGTCTGAAGATACAAATATATGAAGCATTTACATGGTTCTGTTTTTTTAACTTAAACCTATTCAAAGTGAGAAAGTGAGATGTGTAAGGAAATGCCGAAGCTACACTCTCTCATTAAATCTGAAAAGCTTTGCTTCATGAAGGTCAAATAACGTACATCATATGCTTTCTCAGGAATAAGCATCAAGTTTCTTTCCGCACCATATTTGAGCCTCTCAATCTCGGTCAGATCATAACAATTGGTCCATCCAGATCCGAATACGTTCACACTCTTCGCGTAAATATCATTGTAAAGAAAGCCAGTATATATAGAAAACGCGCCCATCAGGAAGATCACATATCGACCGCCGAAGAAAGTTTGGAAAATCTGTCAAGAAAATCACAAGTTCGTTTCAGATAGACAATATAGAGCTCATTGTATCACCTCATCCTTGATTCGAGCAGCTTCCAGTTGCTTCTCTTTGAGAATAAAGAAAAGAGCAGCAGCTAACATGATGAGACCATGGCCAAGATCCCCAAACATTATTGCAAAAAGAAAAGGGAACGAGATCATTGTGTATGGAGCTGCAAAACAACTGCATCTATGTCAACTTCTACAAAACATTGCACAACTGAGCTTTATAGCCAAAGGAGAAATCTCGGAGAGCTGTCTTCCAATCAGAACGAAAACATACCGGTAATGATTGATGACGAGAAACTTACCGGGATTAATTTCTCTGTATGTTGCCACCCCATAAGAGTCAACTATATTTTGAAATCCCCGAGTAAATTTGTTTGATTTGTGGTAAGTTGGTGGGGCTTCAGTGGTTTCCATTCGATTCAAAATTGATGGCACTTGGCTACCACTTTCTTCCTGAACAGGCAAAGATATAACAACAAACAATTTTTCCCGCAGTACAAGACAACATTTATAACTGACCGTTCCACGTTTGAGGGCCATTTTGATGCGCTCTAACTCGCTGACAGGGCACCAGCATTCAGCTATCAGGCATTTCTATAAAATGATAAGCTCAAGGAAAGTTTACACAGTGTGACAAAGTTTAATATACATACGATAACAAGGAGGAAAGTGATTAGGCTTATTAATTTGCTAATCCATGACAACAAAACAAAGATAAAAAGAAAGTTTATCTTCCAACTCACATGGGTGACGTCGATGTTGAAGAGGTTTAGTGTATGGTAAATTGACTTTATCTTTCGCACCTTCGTCAACCACATACGAACGTTCTTTGAAGCCGCTACCTAAACAGGTCTTCTTCGCTACTACCATTTGCTCCTCATTGAATGAAAACTGACCAGCACTCTATGACGATGGTCTTGCGTCTGCCCTAAAACTGTCTTCAAATCTTCAATTCTAGTCATCACTCCGATAGACATTTCACGTCGCTCCTGAGGAGTATCCGGACATGGATATAACGTTGCACGAAAGCTGCAATGGGTCATTTGAGAGGCTTTTCCACCGGTTAGACATGGAAACGGACGGAAAAGAACACACCCTTCACAAATTTTCTTCACTTTGGTTTTCAGCTGGTCTCCTTGGAAAAAGATGATAAATACTGTTTTATTGACCGGCTCGCCCTGCAATAAGTGGAATACAGTTGAGTAGTTGAATTGATGAAATCCTTCCGGTAAGAGTAACTATGCATTGAGGAAGGTATACTTCATTGAGGAAAATTCAAAAACTTACCGTCACTGTGTCATTAAGAACGTCATCTATCTCAGACGTGCGCAGAAAAACGTTGCCACGACATGCACGCCAAAGAAGGCGTTCAAACGCTGGTAGACGTTCTCGACGGATTACGCCAGCAACAAAGCTAAATGAAGGTCGGAGCTAATGGAGGAAGGTCAATTTAACTTTTAACGGACGTTATCGGATAAGAGTGATGTGGCTACGAAAAGCGATTTCTATGATCCAACATTCCCACAACTACGGTACGAACAATTTAGACAGCAAATCTTTCCGATAAACACCACAAACAAAGAGCACAAGTGATTCTTTTATCACGACAAATTGGGCTTTATACTTCGAGAGTCAAAATCAGGATGTTTCAGAAAGTGATGAAAATGAAAGCAGTGACACTTCGTTTCTAAACTAATTCGATGGTATTCTGAGCCACCCTGACTCTTGACCGTATTTGAAAAAACAAAATGTTTTACCACAATTCGCAACTGATCTGTAAGGATAAAATTTGCGCTTGCATACCGTAGCTGAAGCTTGAGTGGCGCGTAGTCGTGTTGCATCGTTTGATTCTGATGTCCATCTTCGTCAGAAGTTGTCAGTAGCTCTTCATGCTACAGAAACACAAGAACACACTTTTTTGCAGAAAAAATAATAATCACATCACTATTCACAACAGATATGTACGGGTGCATTTTCGTAAACTATTCTAACTAGGATGAACCCTGTAGCATTCGAGTTTCGATTCAACTTGGGAGCCGATAATGAAATTGGATCTCTCCGAAACACAAGGAGGACGGAGTTTCATCAACTGGGTTTCAACTGGTGACTGGTTCTTCATGATTTCGTTTCGGATAATATTCCGTCAAAGATTGGAAGTATGTAAGCAAGGAAGCCCATGATGTCAGGGATTGAAAACTTTGGAGCACTAGGATGAGCCAGAGTTCTCAGATCAATGACTTCACGGAAAAGGGGAGAATTTTTGAAAGCTCGTAGCTTGCTTCAGTTGTATATAAGGCACCAAGTGGCGATTTTGAGCAGTATCTACCATGTTCTATTCTAGGCCGAATTCTACACTATGTAAGGTGCATTGGACAAAGTCATGCAGCCCGCATACAAGCTAAAAGAAGAGGGTAAGACGACACATACAGCAAGCATCATGCATCTGAAGCTGTTACATCTATCACGTGCGCTTCTGACGACAGACACCTACCCAAAATTATGAAAAAGTGGTCCAGTTGTTTGTGGTGGTGCACCGCCTGCGGATGTTAGTTCCATCGTCTCCGCATCTGTGGCGTCACCAGGCGGCACCATTGTGTCAGCACCCGCCTGTGTTAGTGTTAGATATAAAAAGCCTAGAAGGTGAATAAATTCACAACAGGCTTGTCGTAGTTGCAACACCAGCAAAGATTATGGTGGTTTTAACCCATTGGCGACCGCCGCGCCTTTTACATTGCCTTTACATTAACTTTTAATTTCTCTTATAACTGTAGTTGGAAATGAATGAATCCTGGACCACAATGTCTCAAGGTTCTCTAGGAGGCTGTGAGCTCCGCTGATACTTGAAATCACGAAAAAATTATAATAGCACTTGATAAATAATATAAATACTACAGGAGCACGATATGGTGTGCCCCGTCGGCGGGTCACGCGGTCGTCAGTGGGTTAAGATGTTGCAAAACTACTTCAGTGCCTGTAGGCAAAAAGGTTGAATGCGGCGAAGATTATTGACATGTTTGCAACGTTATCTACGGTCAATCTGGATGTAACAAGCTTCTATCGGCACTTTGTAATCTGATATACTTGATTGTAAAAAGTTTTTAAAAAGTGTATAACCTGAAAATCACAACAATAGTTTGTAATGATCGTAAAAATATTAAACACTAGTGATACTTCTAAACGATCCTGAGAGTTATTGGACTGTCAGTACAACACACTAAATAACATAAGGAGGCTAGACACGAGGCACCATTGTGGGCTTGTTGGATGCTGCACAATCACCTCACATCACTTTTCACAACCTTCATGCATCGTTTACTTATTACGATTTCTTGGTATATATAAAGTTCTGTCCGTTTTGATCTACTCAAAAGATGCCAAGAAATTGTAACAACTATTTGTACATGTTTTGCTGAGTTTTAAAGAAAAAAGTTAAGAAGGTCTGAGATGAAAATCCAGCCTACAGTTACATCCACCTACCCGAGTCTTAACATTGTCATCGATAAACCCAGTCCTAATGATGCTTCTTCTTCAGCAGTTACGATAAGTGGCTCCTGATCTTCGGACAATGTTCTCCGTCTTGATGCTTCACCAATATGACGTCGATCGTGCTCAACCTCACAAAGCACCACAATATTATCAAAGCCGTTATCACCTCAATTACAACTTGAACGCACAGCGTTACGTCCTACATGCTGTTGAAGATAACATGCTGATGTCAAAATCGCCTATTTGTTATCCGTCAACGAGGGTACCATGGTCAACTAGTGCGGTTACTTCCATTGCGGCATCTTCGCTGTACTGTCTATCACTAAAGCCTTTAAAGAATGGCACACACTATCGATTTTGTCTTCACATTTCCTTTACGCTCTCAGATTGTACAGTGGCGGCGGGTGGTTTACTTGCTAAGTATACATTATATACATACTAGGGGTCCACTGAGTGGAGTGTTCGAATAAATAAATAAATAAACATGCTATCAAACCTGTCGATGTGAAATTAATAAACCAAAGAGAAATATAACTCCCTCGGACTACTGCTCATCTGATAAAATAAACAACCCCGACATTAAATTCAACGAATCAAATCGCACGCTTATTGCTGGAATATATCATATACAGAGAAGGCCCCACCACAGAAAACAAACGAAAAGCAGGTAGCATCAGCCTTTCAAGCATGTTAATGCAATAGCAAATGTTTTGACCTGTTTTGAATCCGAAATTGTGGAGAAATACCCCCCCCCCCCTTCTCCCCTTCCGGTGCTTGAACTTTTTATCATATTTTTGTTATTTTTCTACCCTTATGAGAGCAGTCCCTCGCGCATTTCGACTCAACTGTTTTTGAAACCTTTATACTTAGTGCCGTGGAATATTACTCGCATTCCCGCAACGGTCTACAACAAATACCAATAAATCCGGGCTTTGCACGAAAACAAGAGGAATTAAGGTGCAGAAAAAGAAGCTTAATTATGTCAAGCAGGTACAAATATCAATCGTGATGTTTTCCAGTGTACGGTGATGAAGGATTTTGGAACTACTTCTCTTGCCGGGCATGAAAACTAGGAAACCGAAAGTGTGAAACGAGAAGTCACTTTTCTGATTGTTCCTCCCTTTTCGAATGAAGGTGTAGAGTGGTCGACAATTTTACCCCAATCTGCTAGATTTTTTACAAACAATCTTGTCGTTGTAGAGACAAGCATTGGTTACCGAATCGTAAGTTTAAGCTTTGCAAATCACGAAACTTAGAAATTATAAAACATGCCATGCACGAGAACAAAAATCTGTGCGCTGAAATTCTGAGAAGAATCTCGACGAGCAACAAGTTCCTTCAAACGCTAGTTTCCTACCAAAGAGTTACTCGCTATGAAAACTTCCAGTTAGCCCTATACAGAAAAATTAAAGTTGAAGACACATCACAATTTCAGCGAAATTAAGGCAACTGAGGCATAGACGAATACAATAGCCCAAAAAGAGGACGTTGGTGGAAAATTTGACTGACGACACATGCGTTGCCTATGTCCACTAATAAATAAAAAAAAGGGTTGTTACCATACACCCTATCGAAAAAACGATCATTTTTGCCACGTCTTTATACAGGTTTTCAGCAATCACATCTTTAGACGGAAAGTAGGGTAAAAATCGAATGTGTCCATGATACGATCTCCTTAGAAAAGTTCATTCGTAAAGATCCTTCCCACTATTAGACGGCAAAAGCATTGAACTGTTAGTTAGTCGAGCGGAGGACACATCCCAATAAATCTTCTATAAGAGTAAAAGTCGAATGTTCCGAAAGGTACAGATCAATGTCGAGCAGCTCAAGCTTTAGACGAAGGCAGTGGGCGATAGGTGGTGTCATTACGGACAGAGACCAGGTTCAAGATGAAATCTCGCCAATGCTAACCATTGCACCTAGCTGGCTCGCAACAGCCACTGACAATGATGGTAGGTCTGATTCGATAAATTTGAACTACTCAGTAGTTTTGATGCATAACTTTTGTTTTCTTGAAGAATAAATTCTGGAACTATCCAATACTTAAAAAATCTGCGATGCGGGCAATTTTTAAGGAGCAAGCCTACGAAACATCAGTTCCAGACTAAGCCAATGAACATGCGGCAAACGAGTGAAGACCCAAACTTCCTTTGGTTTTTGAGTACGTTCACACAGAGAAGAATTCGTGCAGAACGAAAAGTATTAGCAAGTTGATTAGAAGCATGCAAGCAAGTAAGAGTGGAAACAAGTAGTGAAAAGGGAAAAAAGTTAGCGGGTCGGCACGTAAAACACGCTCATTCAGCAACAGAAAATGTCTCAAACAGAATCTTGTTACTGTATTTCCGCGTGAAGGCTATCAAATAAAACATAGAACAAACCTCCTCGAAGAAAGTTTGTGTTTTTCTAAGGATATGCTTCAACTCAGTTAATTCTGAGAAATTCTTCTTCAGTGTCTCTTCGTTTCTGTTGACCTCCCGCAGCTCATTCTCGAGTTTTTCGAAAGTCGCCTTCAAGAAAAAAGATAGTAACAATACGGAGAGGAAACGTTGTTAAAATACCTCAAGATCGATCATTTCGCGAGGCTGGGGTGCGTCAGGGTTCTCACCGGTGTCCAACATCGGAATTTGATCTTTCTTTATTTCGCGCTCAAGATATCCTTAATATAAACTTTTAAGATGCAGCTGAAATCACAGAAGATAATCAATCACATCTGAACTTTTTATTTGGAAAGTGTGGATATGGAAAGAAGATGATTGCCGCGGAAATAGAATTCGAAGTTTCTCAGATGAAAGGACGCTATTTGAGGGACCGCTGATAAGTTTTATCCCAGAGCTTTCAAAGAATCAACGATTGGTCGGAAACCGAAGTCAAAACGACAGAGAGTGATGTCAGAGTTAAACGACGTGCATTGTTCCACCGACTGAGCGACCAACGGCGTTGCTGGACACATGTTGTCAAAACCGGACCGATGGATACCACTCACGCGTCCCTAAAGGCAATCTGTCCCGCGTGATTAAGACGTGGCCAGAAACGCCGTCGACCTGCCGGTCGATGGGTGAAACAATACCGCCGTTAAACACTGCTCAGCCGATGAGGCACAAAGCCGGGCAGACCAGCTGCCTTAAACACGTCGCGACTTTCACTAAGTCATGTTGAAGTTGCCCCATGGTGCACGCGTGCACCATAGAGGCGAAATTTGGTGCACTAGATTATACACTGTAATTGCCACATGATAAGATATAAAAACACCCTGCACCCAAATACATAACCAGAGCCCGATCGGCCCACTTGGAACTACAAACAGCCATCCACGCAAGTCATTAGTGGTGTAACGCATATAAACCTACTCAATTTCCTTTCCATCTCATCGCATCGGCGAACTTCGTTAACGTATTTTCTTTGAAAAGCACTTGTGTCAGGATTGAGCTGAAACCAAAACAAAAATGAATACTAAGAATCAGCTTACCTTCACAAATTTCAAAAAGAATATGTTTCTGAGACTATGCAAGGGCCAGACTAGACTTTTTCATTCCTGGTCCCGATGAAATAATCAAAACTCCATTCCCAAGAAGACAATTCTTTGTGATGAGAACAGAACGTATCTGTCGGAAATCTGATAAGTATAAAATGAGAGGTCACCCAACATGTGAAAAATGAGGTCTAAAATCAGGTTTGATTGGAAATGTGTCTCTTAACCTATGCATTCAGTGAACCCTCGAGTATATCCTGATGAATGTAATGACTTCGAACTTGTATGGCTATACTCATTAACCCTGACTCCAAACTTCAGCAGGAATTACTTCATTGAAGTTTTTTCTCTCGAAAAATGGTCAGACAAAACTCTATCATGTGTTTTATGTCGGAAATATTGTGAATAGTGGTGGTGACATAGAAAATTAGACAGAAAAACTTCTACGAGGGAGAAATTTTCAACAAATTGAGCATGTTCATGCCCTGGCAATCAAACTCTAGAAATGCACTATAAACAAGTAAGTATTCCTTACAATATGTAAAGTGCTCGCGTATGCCTGCCTGTTTGCATGGAAATTCTCTACCACCTGATAAAGAACTTGCGAAAATTTTAAAATTACGGATGAGTGCTCGTGGGCATACAGTGCATGCATGGCTCAACAGGTATTAATATACCTTAGATAAAAGGTACACCCTTATCATTAACATCATCAATAACAGGATGGAGTAAAAAATATCGGACGTGATTCCCAAGATGAACTGATAGATACTTTAGTACCCCATCGTCAAAGAAAAAAGGAACCCATTACCGCACGCGGCAAATTTTGGTAAGTTATTAGTGTTCAAGGGAACGGTGTATTCAGCTAGACCGCTGACTCATAATCATTATTCATTACTGTGTCGTTCTCATCCACTACCCACTCACGGTTACGTCATCTGTCGCTCATCTACCTTGTGACATGACCAAACCACAAAATTTGTTTGCACCGACACGATGATTTGGAAGCAAATAAAAAATTGACTTACATCTCGAAATTGAACCAGCCCAAGTTCACCAAGTTCAGCTACACATTGATAAGCAGCTTCGGACTGAAGAAAGAGTTGAGCGAGTGTCATCTGCTCACTTCGGTAGATACCGGGTTGGTCTGGCTCCGGCTCCGATGATGACATCTCTGAAAAGTTAGCCAAAATGAAAATGTTTTTCCTACTGAAACTATATGAAATCAATGTTACTTGCACGGTTAAGACAAATCGTATCAATGATGAATGGAACCATGAATTTTAATGACAGACAAAAACGCTGGCGCTCATTATACATGCGAATGATTCGATTTGAGAAAAGGATGCGATTACGAAAGTATCTCTGATACACTTATTGATCGCCTCAAGACAGACAAAAGGCAGCTTAATACCGACACTCACGAGCCACCCAACCGGCTCTGCTAGTTCTCGAAAGTCAAAAACAAAATGAAACGTTACACAGGCTTCTAACGATAAGATTATAATACTTAAGCAGACATTAAGCAGCTTACAATGACGAATTATCACAAAAATGACTAAGTAACGATATGTAGTACGAATCGCAAAGATTATTCGGAGAAATCCACAAGAGAACCTCACTCACGAAACCGAAGAGGCACTGAGCAAAAGCGGCCGTGGAAGGAAATCAATCCAACGGACGGGCGCTCGTGACGAAGAAATTCTGTCGATAGCAGGTGCCCGCCCATTTTGAGCGGGTGCAAAACCGCAATTGGGGGCGCAGAAAAGCTCTCACATGACGGATTCCACTTATCCAAAACTGTGAAACTGAAACCTGCTATCACCTCAGCCCTCAGGACTTCCAAACAACGGAAGACTGATGCTTAAATACCCATCTTGATAGAAATAGTTCTTCCTGATCACAGAAATGAACAACACCAAGATATACCCGACCTACCCACCAGCACGCACCTCTTGGCTAATTGATAGCAAGTGACAACTCCTCACGACACGTTCGTGGAAACACATTATTGGTGTGCATTCACAGACAACTCAAGGTTACCGTACTCGGACGGCTAATATTAATCGGGGGACGGAACATTCACCCAGGACTGGATGGGAGCGGCAAACCGCGCGGCGAAATTCGTGGTGATTAAAACG